AATCCAGAAGCAGAAAACAGATATAAAACAAAGTATAATCTGTGTGATTTCCTTCCTTCCTTCCTTCCTTCCTTCCTTCCTTCCTTCCTTCCTTCCTTCCTTCCTTCCATAAATGCTAATTACCCACAGCATTTGCCAAATAAGGATGTCAGTAGAGCAAAGTGAAGATTCTAGTTTGAGTATGTCTGCTAAATTTTCTAGCTCCTTTTATAAACTTAGAATAAGAAAGTGCTTTTAGAGCCAGTTTTATGAATATACATATCGATGTGCACACAAACAAAGCATGAACTTTTATAAAAGCTCGAGAATACCTTCAATCCTCTGTTGCAATCTCTTTCTGGCAACTTCACAATAACTTTTGTTCCCAGTAACACTTGATAATTTCTGTTGATTTGGTGCTGTGTTTGAGGCAGCAGATACTGAAGGAAGAGAATGCCTAAAATAGGCTGTGTTCCCTGAGGTACAATATTCACTGGAATTCTGATTGTTAGAACTTGACAGGGTGACTGAATTAAGCGCAGAATCCATTGAATTCTCAGCAAAGCTGTGCTCTTTAGATGTTTCTTCCTTTGGCAGGGTTTCTGCTATACAGAATTTAACACAACCAGATTATTAGTAAAGTGATATCTACTATAAAGATTTTATTGAAGTTTGCTTTAATATAAACATTCCCTACTTAAGAAAGATGCAGAACACCCAGGCCCTAGAATGAAAAAGGTTGTTTATCCTTACTGTAAGTAAGATAATTAAAATTCAGTTACCTTCAGATGGGTGAGCTTCAGTTCTTAGAAGCTTAGGAGACATGGGGACAGGATAGGGGGATGAATCCTGAGAATACCGCTTTGCACTTCTACTGTCTGATATTTGTTCTTTTGCTATATAATCAAAAGGGATTAAGGAGTTATAAATGTATGCAATAATTCAAATGTACATACACTTAAAGCTCCACTTTACAAAGATTTCAAATTTCTATGGTAGCAAATTTAGAAATATTTGCCAGTGTAGCAATCACAACAGGTTCAGGAAAGCTTCTCTAGAGACAGATTTGGAATACAAGATGGATGGGTAAAGGGCCACCTTAGTTAATAGTACCTGTCTCATTAATATTTCCATAGAAAATGCATGTGGACTTTTAATTGTGATGCAAATCCTTCTGCCATGTAGTATTTTTCTATAGCATTTACTGCAAAGATTCCCAATGACTAATTTAATTATGAAATTAGAAAATTGGAAATCATAATTCTTTATTGGCCATGTGATTGGACACACAAGAAATTTGTCTCCAATGCATAAGATCTCAGTGATATGATAGGTCATATCTCATAGCACTATCATAGCTCATAGTTACAATCATTAATCATACTATACAAGTGATAAATCATAGATACCTTGAGATGAGAAATAAATATATCACTTATACAAAAAGGGGGCATTTTTTTCCATAAATGAGAATTAAATCAGAAGCACACAATAAATTAATGAACTGAAATTAATGTTTTTACCTTAGTCTGTAAAAGGGGGGAAAGGTGGTTAAATAAGGATGCTTTGATTATTGCCTATTTTATATATTTAATATACAAGATTTTGTCATTGGTCAATGACAAAATAGGCAAAGATTAAAACATCCATTCCATACTTAACCACATTGCCTCTTTTTCATGAACATGATTTTCATGATGATGTCAAGCATATGTCAACTTGCAAGAATGGGGAAAGAGACAAATAATTCTGGGCATATTTACTTTTTCTTTATTTCTTTATTCCCCAACTTTTTTGCCAAGCTACAATTTTGCCAAGCCCATTATTTGTATATTAAATAGCAAAGCATAAATACAGTACAATATAAATCTGTGAAAATCTTTGGTAAATCCCCTAACTCTCTACATCAGTGTTTTTCAACCACTGTGCCGCGGCACACTAGTGTGCCGTGACATAGTGTAAGGTGTGCCGTGGGAAAAACACTTTATATATAGTCAATATAGGCACAGTTAAATTTTTTTAACATTTTCTAATGGTGGTGTGCCTCGTGATTTTTTTCATGAAAAAAGTGTGCCTTTGCACAAAAAAGGTTGAAAAACACTGCTCTACATGATACCATTCAATTATAGTTTTCAATGATTATAAAATAAGTGGCATGACTAATAGCTTCAATCCTACTCAAACATCAGTTGTAATCCTCAAAGTGAACAAGCTTTTGCATCCCTTCCATTGAAGGAGAAAAGTTTTGTCCATTCTATTATTCTATAGGAAACATTGGTGTAAAAAATACAAATAGGAAAGTATAGCTGTAAATTATAGTTATACAATGTACACAATACATCATAACATTAACATTCAATGAGAGACATGTCTGAGTCCTGTTATCTGGGAAGAGTTTGAGCTGGTTGATTCTGAGGAAGTGGACAGGGTCCTCGTAGTTGTAAGCTTAGGCATCTGGACCCATGCCTCTCCTGATTAGTTAAGGTAGCCAAGGAGGTAGCATGTGGCTGGCTCCAAAGTAGCTAATGCCCTTTTATAGGAGGGGTGTTTCTATCTGCACCGAAGGAGGCAGTGATGTACCCTCTTCTCAAGAGGCCATGCTTAGATCCAGCAATGTTAAGCCTTCACTACTTCTGTAAAAAGTTGTTGAAAGGGTGATTGGGATTCATCTTCAGAGAGCACTGAACAAAACGATCTGGGCTCTTTTTCAGTCTGGGTTAAGATTAGATACAGCAGTGTCAGCATTGTTATGCTTGCTGATTACCTTTGGAGAGATTGGAATTGGGGTGGTGCAGTTGACCTGCTTTCCTGGATCTCTCAACAGATTTGATACTAGACCATGGCATCCTTCTGCACTGGTACCTTTTTGTGGTGTTTCTCCTTTTTTCTCTGTGGTTAGTTCCAGTCAGTGTTGCTGCACAAGGAGAGATCAAGCTCTAAGCCCCTGAAGTGTTTGTGTGGAGGGTGCCTCAAGGTTCTGGTTTCTCCCCTATCCTCTTTAACATGTATACAAAACCACTGGGTAGGTTATCCAACAGCAAGAGTTATGGTATTATCACTTCGCTGATGATACCCAACCATACATTTCTACTCCTGGCCAAGAGATGGTGCTGTTGCAGTGTTGTCCAAGTGCCTGGAGGTTGCAACTGTCGTGATGGGGGTGAACAACTCAATCCTGGGAAGATGGAGTCGCTTTGGGTTTTGGGCCTTCAGATCTGATGACATGTCATCTTTGACTGGGCAGGCTTGCATTCTTCACAATTGAGCTGGTACCCAATTTGGTGATCTTCCTGGACTCATGGCTCCTGCAGATAACAACTGTGACTGGAGGGTGTGTGTGTGGGGGGGGGGGCTTTGTACTGATCAATGTCGTACACCAATTGTATCTTTTCCTGTATTGAGAGGTCTTCTATACAGTCATTCATGCCTTAGTCGCTTCCTGTTTGGATTACTGCAATGTACTTTACATGTGTCTGCTCTTTAAGATCACTCTCAAGTTACAATTGATCCAGGATGTAGCAGCATATATAGAATTGGATATTCATAGTTCACCCATGTTACCTTTCCATTGTCTGAGCTTTACTGGCTTCCAGTTGCCTTCTAGATGCAATTCAAGGTGCTGGTAATCACCTTTATAGCGCCATATGGCATTGGTTGTATAAGTGACTGCCTGTCCCATTAGATCAGACCCTATTCTTGAAATCCTGTCATCTCATGAGACCTTGGAAATATGCCTTTTCTGTGGCTTTCCCTACCTTATAGAGCACCCTCCCCTCCAGCAATTCGGCAAGTCCCAACCCTTGTAGCTTTTCAGAAGGACATCAAGAACTGACTTTTTATTGAGATGATGGGATGGGGTGGGAGGGGAGGGGAGGGGACAGGATAGGATGGGAAGAATGGAATGGGGGTAATTGTAGGTTGCTGTGGGTATCCTAAGGAGATGATTAAGGCACTAGGTTTTTATTCAACCAATTTACTGTTTTATTGTTTTATGGTTATTAGTTTTGGTGTTGTGAGTTTCCCAGAGTTGGGCAAAATGGATGCCCATATAAATCTTTTAAATAAATAAATAACAGTAGTTGTCAAACTGTGATTACATTTTAATGAGATTGTTTCTGAGAAAAGCATATGCACTTTCAAATTCCTTTTTTAATAGAAAATCTAGGTAAAATAAACTACATATAAAATAAGGTTATTTGATGATTGTAATGAAAATTCCTCTCCATAATGTAAAGGCAAATTACAGTTATAATTAAAGCCACCAGTTCATGACAGCATTCAATCAATCTCAAAGATAGTATTTCATTGGCCAAAAGGTAAAGATCCCAAATATTTGACAGAATGTCTTTTCTGTTTTTTGTATAGAGTACTGGTATGTGGAATTAAGATGTATTAATCGTGTTTCCTCCAATTCTAATAGATATCCTAATATATTTAAAGTTCACATAACTGTAGTTTATCTGAGAGCCAAGCATTTAACAACATACTTAAGGCTGTAATTCAGCTCAGTATGAATTCTGATCCGAACACAATACATTAGGTGGTTTTTAATTCACCTGAAATCGGACATAAATAATTCATCCAGCTTCTAAATCAAAATTCTAATATTCGGGGACACCCATAGGCCAATCACAATATTAATGGTACTTTTTCAGAGAATATTACTGTGCTTAGGAATGTTTAAAAGTCATGCATGAAACAAGTAAGAATATATTTAGAATGTTATCATAGTTTATACAATCAAGTGTCTATGAGATCTGACTTTTAGAATCTCATATATTCCGCATTTTTCGGAGTATAAGATGCACCTTTTTTCCTCAAAAAAGAGGCTGAAAATCTGGGTGCGTCTTATACACTGAATACAGCATTTTTTGCCTCCCAAAGCCCCGCCCCCTTCACCAAAANGTGCGCCTTATGGTCGTGAAAATACGGTAATTGGAATCCATTTTAATTCTACCAAATTCTTCAACAGAGTAGGAAGAACATTTCACACATATCAAATTATGTTTTCCTGTTCTAATTTTTTTTCTGTGTATATTTTTGTGTAATTAATAATAGTTTCCCCCAAACACGGCAAGAATTCATGGGACATCAGGACTAAGTTTATGTTTAAGGATAATTCTGTATCAAGTAGAACTTACATTGACACAAAACTCTTTTCTAGTGCAAACTACAGTTGTGGTTTTCTGCTTTTAATACTCTTGGAGGAAAAAAGCCTATTACATTTCAGACATACACTGGATTTTTTTTCAATTTTTTAATTTCATGTGATTCTAGGCACTATTAAAAATAAATTGTATTTTACTTACATGTCTCCTGAAGAGTTCGGCATGGGGTGCTAATGCCTGGGGATCTGCTTCTTTTACAAATCGCATTACTTCATCAACTGACCATGTTGAAGGGTCTTTGCTGAAGAGATGTGAAGATTCCTGTTTTAGTGCACTGAGTTCAGGTCCTGTTTTAGAACTTGCAGCTTAAACACACAAAAGAATGAAACTGAAGAAGCTGGAGAAATAACCAAGGCATTTTGAGGATACCTGCACATATTCAAATAGCTTTTATAGTCATTGGTGAATAGAACACCCCCCACCCCATTATTTCCCCATTTTATGGGGTTAATCTGAAAATATCTTGCTACTGTTAATGCAGTGGTGACCTATACATTTTACAACCACACACACAAATAAATATGGGAAGGCATCTTTTCCAATCTGGTGGCTCCCAAATGTTGGCTCCCCAAATTCCTATTTATGACGACTTCCAAGAATATCAGTTGAACATTCTGTAAATTATTTTAGCACATCTGGAGAATACTTAGTTAGAAAGGCCATGATAGTCACTTGTTTCTGTTAGTAATTAATCATACATGTTTATTTTTAAAACTCCTCTGTATTGGATTTTCCTTCAAGGAACAATATGTATTATAGCATTTATAAAACAAAGCAAAATTGTTCATTTTGGCAAAAATAATAGATTATGGTTTGATTTATGTTGTGATTTAATTAAGACATAGGGATTACCTCAAAGAGAAATCCAGAAGCAGAAAACAGATATAAAACAAAGTATAATCTGTGTGATTTCCTTCCTTCCTTCCTTCCTTCCTTCCTTCCTTCCTTCCTTCCTTCNGGAAGTAGAGTAGAAAAGGATGATGGAGGGAAGAAAGGAGGTAAGGAGGGGGAAGAGAGAGGCAGAAGAAAGTGGTGTTTGCAGATGAGCTAATAATTGGTTTTTATCTTTCTGGGAGTTGATGGGAAGAGGAACTGATGTAATTATTACTTAATACAATATGATATTGGCTATGTAATAATATACATGTGATTATATGTTATGAAAATGGAAAATAAAAAAAAGTATTTTGAAAAAAATAATAATAGAGATATAACAGTCCTTTTTTATGCGAAGGACTGTGATATGCTCAATGACCCATTACTGTGAACAAATTTCTTTCGGAATTTCTCCTATTCTCACACAAAATTGGTATCTCAGTCAAATTGAACTGGCAAAAGATTGCTGGGAATGTGGTGGAAAAGCTGTGAAGAAGCATGTGCTACGTTCAAAAAACATAGAAACACTGCACTGATTTCTGTGCAGTATATCATCCCATTAAAATAGTTTATCTTACCTATATGTTTTGTTCCATTTTGGTGAAGAATAAAAAGATTATAGACCATAATAATCAAAATTTCTAAAGCATAACTTGGAAATAGATGCACTAATCTCTTCCACTAAAATTCCTAGAAAATGTTATTTCATGCTAAAACCACCTTTAGGGTTTTTTCCCCACTTCATATAAAGCTCTAGGTTTTTTAAATTCATCATTAATTTTGAAAACAAATGAAATACGTTTCTTTCCATTGGACAAGACAAGTCAGCTTCCAAGCTGTTAGATTTCACTACGAAGCAGGTGGTAAGTCTTTAAGTGTCCTAATTTTGACTATCTCCATTGAAATAAGACTAAATCCTTGGTTGATGGCCATAATGCTAATGGCTGTTTGGTCATTATAGCATATACAATAAAGCTAGAAACCAGCACTGCACCTGACCCGACTGACTATAAGCAAGCAAGCAATGTGAAATCAGGACTATGTAAACTGAGCACTTACACATAAAGATATATAGGTACTTATTTCAGATTTACAGATTTCAACAGGCAATTGTAAACTAAAGAATTTATCATACTATTTTCTTATCATAGCAGTTGTATATACATATTAATGCTATCCAGCAATCTGGGCTAAATGTAGAAAAAGTATTTCTGTATGTAAAACTCACACTACAACTGTCAGCAACTTTTTAAGGAAGCTGCATTTTTCTAAGATTCCTAGGAAAGCCTATTTGATTTGTGCCAATAGAATGTGCCAATAGCTATAACATGCATATTCTGAATCCCACTTTCCTCCTTGAATATGGATTGGATTTTTAGTCCTAATACAGTGGTTTTCAGTATACTTTATTTTAATTCTACAGTGAATGGCAATAATGGCTGACCTTTTTGGGCTCAGAAGGTAAGTAGGGTCCTGTAAGTCAAAATATGCTTTAAAATTTTAGAACTTGTAATTACACATATGTGGAGAAAAGCAAAACTGCCTACTTTTTAAAATTCTTACTAAATCACTGTGCACTATAATTCAAAATGATTATTCTGTTGTTTTGTTTCTTACTTGTTTTGTTTCTAAATATAAACCATCAATGCAATACACAAGAGCTATGACAAGGAAAGGAACCAAAGTAATCAGAACATTACCTGACTTGTTTCTATCATGTTCGATGGGACTATGTGCATTTCCCATGTAAGGACTAAAGGGCTGGCTACTGAAAAGATTATCACACTGTAGGCTGTGGCAGAGTTTCTCCAAGAAGCGAAGAACAAAAGATGCACTATTCACAGAAGGAAGATTGATGGCATGTTTCTCCTCATCAAAAGAGGCTGTCAGTAGGAAAAAAAATATCAATATTATTACACACAATGAAATACCACCAGTGCCGAACAGAAGCTATCTCCCTTTTAATGAATCCTAAGAATAAAAAGGCAGCAGTTTTTTTACTTTTTCTCTACAAGAGGTTTTGGACCATTTGCAGTATCTCTATGCTAATCAATGTGCATTTGTTTTGCCAAATTTAAAAAGCACATTTTTAAAAGCTATTAACTTTCAAGAATGTAATACTACTCAAATGCAAAGAGTTCATAGGGCTCCTCCCTATCTCTCTGAAAATATACATTCCTTTGGGCTATTGGGAATGATTAGGAGCATCAGGCCATTTCTACTGCCGTAGGGCCAGTACTGCAAATCTGAAACTATTTGTTTTATATTTGGGAATGGAAGGGCAATTGGTTCCCAGCCTGGAAATGCACAATGACCAAGACAGAGAATTCTTGTTCCACTGTCATGATATTAAACATTAATTTGAAATCAATGTGTCTTCTAAAAGATTCAATTTAATAATGCTAGAAATAAGGTGTGACAGCTTAATGAACCATAGAAAACTGTCTCATCTGGCATTTATATAATGTAATAAAGTAAGGCAGTCTTCTTTTTAATCTCAGAATTATAAACAGGCATCCAAATATATATCCTGAGGACTGCTTTTGCTAGGAACAAAGTGACAAGGAGCTATTCTAATTTAGAACTAGAGAAATATTGACACTATAGAACAGACAGCAATTATACCTATGTAGAATTCTGACTTTTTCAAAACAGCATTCAGCTAAAATAAAATCTCATTGTAGGAAACAGAACACCTTCACAATTTTGGATCAAATATTTTCATATAAAGCAAAAGGAATGGATATGTGTTTGCTTTTAAATTATAATAGAACATTTTTCTGGTTATTATTTTGGGAGATATGACAAATGTAAGTCAATTTAAATATAACTTATTTAAGAATAAAGAAAGTTAGAGGTTTTATCATTACCAAGCATACAGAGTTTTTATTGGCTTTCAAAATATTGATTCTGCAGTCTGCTGGGTTTCTTTTTAAATACTGATTTACTGTGATTTACAAGAATCACTGACTAATTGTATTGCATATATAGTTAACAATAGGCCAGAAGTCTGGCTTGTTCTGCATGTCAACATTACAAATGAGGTTCCCCCCCCCTCCCTCGCCTTTTTGTATAAAAGGATAAAGCCAACCGGAAATAAAAAGCTCCATATAATATTAAATTGGGTCTAATTAGCCAAATAATCAAGACTCACTCACTATTCCATTACTCAGGCTGGGGGGTGAAATTTTACGCCCCTCAGACAGGGCTCGCAATTTGGGAGTCTTCCTGGACCCACAGCTGAC